TCTCTTTTGGGTCCTGGCCTGACAGCTCTTGCCGTCTGTGCCTCACGTCCACACAGATGATAATGAACCCCTTGTGGGGCTGTTAGGATGACAAGGTGAGACGGCATCTGTCAGCTCTTACAGAGATGCAGGCAAACAGTGCGGCCCCGCGCCCCTTGCCTTTTGCTCCCCAGGCAGGGTGGGCGGGCTGCTGCTTCTCCCGCATCCGGTGCTGTGGTTGACTTGTCCTTCTCCCTGCTGGGCTGAGAGCTTCATGAGAGAGGGGTCTGTCGTTTTCCTTCACCATCCTGAGTACCCAGCGTTAGGATTTGATGAATGAGTATGCAAGTGTGTGTACCTTCCCCATGGAGAGTATTCCTGTGAAGACGTCTGGGATTGTCACCAACACCACAGCCAGTACCGAGGGGCAGTTGGGGGCAGTGAAAGGAGCAGTGGCTGTGAATCTGCAATCTCCCGTGAAACACTGATGTCCAGCCCAGTCCCACTCGGAGCTGCCCATGGGGAAGTGTGCATTTGCTTTTGGACTTGGTGGGGTAAAGTCGTGGAGTTCCTCTCCTTCCCCCTGTCCTGAGCCGGGAGCCCCTCCTGATGTAAGGGCTCCCTGCCTGGGGTAGTCCCTGCTCACCACCTCTGGAGTGACTCTCTGGCACCTGCCTTTGCGAGACCCTGCCCCACCGCCTCCCATTGAACCCCTCGCCTCTCGGCACACGCTGATACTGCTCCTCCAAGATGATGAAGCAGAGGCGAGTCAGCTGGGAGGGCATGCAGCCCAGGAGATAGGTTGTTCAAGACCCACCCCACCTGCCGGGACCATGGCGTGGCAGAGAGTAGCAGGGGCAGTGGAAAGGGGGAGCTAGAGGAGGACAGGAGGGCAGTGGAGGCTCAGGCAGTGGTTCCAGAACCACCGAGTATGTAGCACTGCCTGGGCTAGAGACGCACTGGGGGCCAGAGGGAAAGGGCCTTAAATGCCAGGCCAGGGAGCTGGACTTTACCCTGGAGGCAGGGAAGGTTTTAAGCAAGGAATATCCTGGTCCCACCCAGTGCCTTTTAGGTGACAAGGGAGGTGGGTACAACATACCTTCTGTCCCCGAGTTTTCTGTGCCTGAGCTAGTGAGCCATGCTTTCCCCACCCGGGTTCCCTCAGTTGCTCATGGGGTGCCCCTGACTCAGTTTCATGCCTGTGGGGGTGGCTGGTCAGCATGGCAGTCTTGAGGCCCCTCTGTCCCCAGGCCAGGCTGGCACCAGTCAGTCCTCACAGGGAGGCTCCTGGAGGGGCTATGTGGTGGGGTGTTGGGTACTTTGGCAGTGGGTGAGCCCTGGCCCTCTTCCTGCCGTTCCAGGAATAAGCCTCCTCATCCCCCCAGACGCCATACCCCGAGGGAAGATCTATGAGATCTACCTCACGCTGCACAAGCCGGAAGACGTGAGGTGTGGCCGAGGGCCCTGTGGCTGGGGGTGGGAGGGACCTGCCTGCTGCCTTCGGTCCCCGGAAAGGCCCCTGCCCACCCACTGTTGTGCCTGGCCTAAAGAGGGGTTGTGGGGGAGAAGAGCTGTGCCTAAGCCCCATCTGGCTCTGCAGCCCAAGCCCCTGGCCCCTGGGATGCTCTGCCCTGCCCTTGGCCTGGTGTGGGTCACTGACACCTTTCCCTCCCCACCTGTATTTCCCCACTTGAGGTTGCCCCTAGCCGGCTGTCAGACCCTGCTGAGTCCCATCGTTAGCTGTGGACCCCCTGGCGTCCTGCTCACCCGGCCGGTCATCCTGGCTATGGACCACTGTGGGGAGCCCAGCCCCGACAGCTGGAGCCTGCGCCTCAAAAAGCAGTCATGCGAGGGCAGCTGGGAGGTGAGTGGGTAACCTACCCATGCTCCAGAAGAGAACGTGGGCTAACTGCATGCTCAGCCTGGCCCTCTGCCGCTGGGTGGCCCTGAGCCACGCCCCCACCTCTGCCCAGTCTCCGGCCACTTCTTGTAGCCACGGTTGGCCCCAGGGCTCTGAGGCTGGACAGAACTGACCCGCTGACCCCTGCCCTCAGGATGTGCTGCACCTGGGTGAGGAGGCACCCTCCCACCTTTACTACTGCCAGCTGGAGGCCAGCGCTTGTTACATCTTCACTGAGCAGCTGGGCCGCTTTGCCCTGGTGGGAGAGGCCCTCAGCGTGGCTGCCGCCAAGCGCCTCAAGCTGCTTCTGTTTGCGCCAGTGGCCTGCACCTCCCTCGAGTACAACATCCGGGTGTACTGCCTGCATGACACCCATGACGCACTCAAGGTATTGCCCGCCCCTCGCCCCTGCCCCTGGGAGGCCTAGCTGCGCCTGGCCCTGCGGCCTGACTGCCTGGGGGCAGTGGGGAGGGGCCTGAGCTGACCACCTGGGGCACTGCAGGAGGTGGTGCAGCTGGAGAAGCAGCTGGGGGGACAGCTGATCCAGGAGCCTCGGGTCCTGCACTTCAAGGACAGTTACCACAACCTGCGCCTGTCCATCCACGATGTGCCCAGCTCCCTGTGGAAGAGCAAGCTTCTCGTCAGCTACCAGGTGAGGGCCAGGCCGTTGGCCAGAGCACAAGGGGCCTGGAGTTTGGGCTCACCTGACACCTCCTCTGCACCCCCATCAGGAGATCCCCTTTTATCACATCTGGAACGGCACGCAGCAGTACCTACACTGCACCTTCACCCTGGAGCGTGTCAGCCCCAGCACTAGCGACCTGGCCTGCAAGCTGTGGGTGTGGCAGGTGGAGGGCGATGGGCAGAGCTTCAACATCAACTTCAACATCACCAAGGTGGACGGGAGGGGCTGCAGCACTGCTGTGATGTGCTCCCACTAGCAACTCCCCACTAGCCCCAGAACACTCCCGCCCTGCCTACCCTGCCCCTCACTCTCCCTCCCACCTGTCCCCAAGCCCCACTCCTCCTAGAAACCCCTTGGTAGCTTCCTCCCAGTCTCAGAGGGAGGGAGGCACAGGTGCAAATGGGACTTGGGGAGGGGAATGAAGGGGACATGGGAGCAGCAGGAGGGGAAACCCTGGAGGTCTTCCCTGAAGAGGTGCTTTGTCCTGGGCCCTAAAGAATGAGCCAGTTTGGCTGCAGCATTAAGGGGAAGAGCATTTCTGGCAGTGGGAGCTGGGCAGCAAGGACACAGGCTGGGAGGAGAGCTGTGTGTGAGTGTCAGCAGAGGCTGAGGAGAGTGACGTGGAGGGGAGAAGGGCAGAGAGGGAGGGGGGCCACAGAGGGCTCTTCTGTTCACTGACTATGTGGCTTTGGGCAGGTCACCATACCTCTGAGCCCCAGTAAGCAGAGCCTTGGCACATGAGAGGTGCCCAGGAAGTGCCAGTGCTCATGCTGCCCCTATGCTCTGGGGGACTTGGGAGCTCCACAGCAGGAGGTGGCAGTGGCCCCAGACTTGGGGAAAGTTCTAACAGGTGCCTCTGTCCCTCCCACTCCCAGGATACAAGGTTTGCTGAGCTGCTGGCTGTGGAGAGTGAAGGGGGGGTCCCAGCCCTGGTGGGCCCCAGTGCCTTCAAGATCCCCTTCCTCATTCGGCAGAAGATCATTTCCAGCCTGGACCCACCCTGTAGCCGGGGTGCCGACTGGCGGACTCTGGCCCAGAAACTCCACCTGGACAGGTGGGCGGGAGGGGGGCAGAGAGGGCCTGTGCAGGCCATTGACAGTGCTGCCCAGGTTGGGGCTGGGGTGGACAGGAGGCCCTGTGGGGCCTGTGCCGTATCTACTAGTGGCCGGGGCAGTCAGTGTGTTTGACTTGGGGGAGGCCCTGCCCTGGGGTGGGCCTGGGGGGCAGGAGGTATCAGCTGGGGCCAGGCCAGGCTGCTGACGGTCCCCCTCCTCTCCGCAGCCATCTCAGCTTCTTTGCCTCCAAGCCCAGCCCCACAGCCATGATCCTCAACCTGTGGGAGGCACGGCACTTCCCCAACGGCAACCTCAGCCAGCTGGCTGCAGCAGTGGCTGGACTGGGCCAGCCAGACGCTGGCCTCTTCACAGTGTCGGAGGCCGAGTGCTGAGGCCGGCCAGGCCCAACGCCTACACTCTCACCAGCTTTGGCACCCACCGGGGACAGGCAGAAGCCGGACAGGGGCCCTTCCCCACACCAGGGAGAGCTGCTTGGACAGGCCCCCTCCCGGCCAAAGTTGTCCCTTAACACTGGTCCTTCAGACCCTGCCTGAACTCCCACCTCTCCATGGCCTGCCTGGCCAGGCTGGCACTGCCACCTGCTCACATTCGGCCTCCGGGCCCAGGGTGGGCAGTGCCTAGAGCCTGGGCCGGGCCTAGCCCATCTGTGTGTGTGTATGTGCGTGTGATGCTACCTCTCCTCCCGTCCCTCTCCAGGGGCCCCGCATACACACAGCCATGCACGCACACACACTGGGCCTGAGCCAGGGCCCCGGAGCTCCTGCCTGAGCCAGACCTTATGCAAACATTTCTGTGCCTGCTGGGCAGGGGCACTTCTGAGGGGCCCGGCTCCAAGCCTCCAGGACCGAGGGCCACAGCTGGACAGGGGATAGCCCCTGGATTCAGGCACACGACCACCACACGAGCACGTGCCACGCATGCCTCGTGTGCTCATCTCACACGCATCCCCCTCCTGGGTCATGCAGACACACCCCCCCCACCACACACATCTCATGCTGTACACCTGAGGCTGCTCACATCTCATGCCTGGTGGCGGTGCACATTTGCCTCTCACGTGCTGCCCTCTCCACCCACCCAGGGACACCCCATGGCTCCTCCCTGCCCCTGCCCCTCCCCCAGCCTCGAGGTGCCCTGCCCGGCGGGGCCTGTGAATATGCAATGGGAGTCCCGGGCTGTACAATGGCGAGTGTGTGTGGCGTGGCGTGCCCATCCCTAGGGCTGGCTGGTGCCCCACCCGGGGCCTGTCGTGCGAAGCTCGTGTCCTGACTTTGTCTTAAGTGCATTCACGCACTTACACTTGGCCTTATGTACACAGCCTTGCCCGGCCGCCGGGGCGCGTAGGGATTTTATCGGACGTGAATGTAAATAAATTATATATATATATTGCTAACCTGAGTGCTACTTCTCTCGGGGAAAGCCAGGGAGCAAGGCCAAATGGCCACAGAGGGGTCACACGTGGGATGTCCCGGGAGTCTGGGTGGCTGGGCCTGGCTGGGAGACAGGTGGATTCCAGCCCGGGTCCAGCAAGGCTGGGGCTGAGACCTTTCCTCAGCCTGGAGACTTCCTCAGACACGAGTCGACTGTGCTAGGCGGCAGGCAACGGCAGTGACCAAAGCCGCACCTTTGCCAGACCCATCCTCTGACTGCAGGAACGTGACTGCACAGCGAGGGGCCAGCTCACGCACCGTGGCCGCCACCAGGCTGGAGAAGCTGTGAGAGGAGGGCTGAGGTGAGCCCAGGCCGCCAGCCCCACCTGGCCACACCTCCTTCCCCAGCCCTCGCACCCAGACTCACTGCGGGTGCAGCTTGTAGAGTGTTCCGTCCACCCCCACGGACACCGCCAGCTCTTCCAGGCCCCGGTTCTCCCGGATTTTCTCCGCCACGGCAGCTACACCCGCCCCACAGAGCTGGGCAGCCCGCTGGGACACGGCCTGGCAGACCTCTAGCACCATCAGGGTGTCGTCTGAGGTCAGGGGCAGCCCCAGGTCCTCTAGGATGGCTCGGACCTGCCGCAGGGCCAGGCTGTCACTGGGGGCCAGGAAGGAAGAGAGTAGAGAGGCAGGTCATGACTCCCCACTTCATCCTCCAGAGCAGACCTCGACACCACCCAGGCCAGCAGTCCCCAACAGTGGACAGAAAGACTCCCTGGAGTAGGGGAGGCAACGTAGGCCTCAGGCACCTTTCAATCTCAGAGAGGAACTTGGTCTTGAAGATGTCCCTGGTCTGAAGGCGCTGGGTCTGCTGGCCCCGGAAAAGAACGCCAAGGCTGGTTAAATGTAAAAGGATGTGGCGGACGATCTCCCCCAGGTACATGCCGCTGATCATCTTTTCAAACCTGCGTGAACATATGTGTGCACACACGGCAGAAGGCCCCACTGGTCACTGACCCCAGCACTGGTCACAGCCAACCACCACCCTCTGGGCCAGGCCCACACCTCTGCTTGCCAGGGTTGATGGACGCCTGGTCCACACTTGCGTCAAAGCAGGTGCTGAGCGTGTCCAGAGAGCCATCATCCCCAAAGGCACCCCACTCCATGTTGATGCACATGTGGCCTGAGTCCCCGGGCACGCCCGCCACATTCCGGAGCTCCTCCATGTAGCAGGCATTGGTGCCAGTTCCTGCAGAGAGGCCAGACAACACGGAAGCCATTTGCAGATGCGGACAAGGACCCTCTGAGCACTTCCCATACTGAGATGGAAAATCTGGGCTCATTCTCTACCTCTCCAACTCCTCATGCCCACAGCCTGTCCCTAGACCTGGTCCTCCTTCCTTCCCAACATCCCTCATGCAGACCCTGCTAGCTCCAAGCTCTGGGGACCTTCACTTCCTTTCCCACCAACGTCACCATCAGTGCAGCCACCACACCACCCCCAAGTGCTCTTACATTGCCCAGCTGTCTTGTCATTCCCCTGGGAGACATGTGATGCCCCCTTCCCTTACCCCTATCTCTCTTCAGATGAGAGGTCGAAGCTCCCGGGCCAGTCCCTTAATCCAACTAAGAAGTGCTAGGCCAGGAGCGGGGGACACAGAGAAAAATCAAAGATGAGGAGCCCCACCATCTGGCCAGAGATCAGGCAATGAACAGCCAGCTCTGATGGAGCCTCTGTCCCCCCGTGGAAGCACCAAGGAGAGCATCATGGGAGCCCAGACCATAGGACGAGTCTCTGCTAACAGGGTCAGGAAAGCTACAGAGAGGAAGTGGCTGAAGCCAAGAAGCACAGAAAGGAAAAGGCATTCAGGCAGAGGGCACACCCTGGATAAAAGGGCGTCTCCTTCTCCCGACACAGCTTCAGCTCCAGGCAGGTGGGCTCCTTACTGGCCACACCTGAAGTTCCTCTGTCCAGCTGTGTATGCACACAGCAACCTGGGCACACCTCTCCCAAGTGCCTAACAGTACCAGGTCCTGGAGTTCAAAAAGCTCCCCACCAGGAGAGGCCGCCACATGGCTCGTGTTGAGAGACCAGTGCCCAAGGAGCTGTGGGATCCCTCCTCCCCCACAGAACCAAATCCTTTCTTTCAGGGCTTTCTTTTCAAATCCCACTCGTCCTGGGACCATTCCTTTCTGATCTTGGCCTTGCTGCTGCCCACATGTAAAATCAAGTCACTCTCTGACTGCCACGTGTTGTTCTGGGCTTAACCCTTACTGAGTGGTCAGTCCTGAGAAGGCAGAGATTTCCTCTTGTTTAATGTGTTTGTGGCTACAGAGTAGGTGCTTAATAAGGACAGAATCTTGGACCGTCTGAAGGACCCTCATTGCTCATTGGTACCCTGCTCCCACCCAGCTCCAAATACCAGGTGTGTACCATGAGCCAGGGACCATGCTAAACTTTGTCCCCTCCCATTTCGTCTCCATGATGCATTGAGACAGGCATTGCTATTCTTATCTCTATCTTAGAGATGCGGAAACTAAGGCTCTGATGACTTGCCCAAGGTCATACAGGTGGAAACACACAAAGCTAGTATTTCCCCCAAATCTGTACAACTCCAAAGCTCAGATTCATTTATTAGATGGGCAAACTGAGGTCCAAAGAGCTTAAATGGCCATGAGTCAGTCACTGAACTGGACTAAACACCCAAGCTCCAGACTGCCAGCCCAAGAGATTGTTCCAGAGCCCCATTGGGTCAGACAGGAGCAATCCCATATCCCCAACACCAAGGAAACATCTAACCAGAGGAATCAACAGAAGGCAGCAAATTGCCAAGCAGTAGGGGCACGAAAGGGCAGGGCCCTCCTCACCGACAATGAGGCCTATCTCGCAACGGGGGTCCTCATAGCCACAGGACATCATGGTCCCCACCGTGTCATTGACAATAGCAACCACATTCAGCTCCACTGCCTGCACACAAAAGGATGCTGCTAGTTGCTGGGCAACACGGTTGTCACAGCAACCAGAACTGGACCAAGAGGTCTCTACTCCAGAGGGCTCCCCCCTCAAAGTAGGAGACTCTTTGCTCCCTCCAGGCCTGCCACACCCCACAAAGCACTCCTAGAACAGGCTTCTACCTGTCTGCGTGTGATGGCTTCCCGCAACAGACTCACGACATCTTGGCCCTCGCAGTCTGATGCATTGAAACCCTTGGTCCAGTTCAGGAGGATGCCCTGGGGTGGGACAGAGAGGAAGTGGTAGGAAGCTGGAGGCCCTTTCAGGCTCTCTGCCTCCCCAAAGCCTGCATCCATCACAAGCCTAGGACTTCCACCCTCCCCAAGCACAATTCCTTGCCTACTTTGCTGTATGGTTGAAGGCCTTGCCCTCTGCCTGCTCCCTACTCCCCAGGAGGCTTTTGGTGTGAAAAACCTATTAATAACCATCTAACCTACATTTTCCATTATTAGTTCCAGAATGCCCAGACGGTCAGAGAGTCTGGCCATTTTAAGACATTTGCCCACAAGGAATGGCCCTTTGTAATTGGGTTAGGAATGAACAGAGCTGGTAAAGGAAGTGCTGTGTGTGAGACAGGGGAGGACAGAGAAGGCTTGGAGGCCCAGATGGCAGCAGACCCCGCCTTTCAGAAAGAACGCCAAGTTACTCGAGAGAAAAGAATTCTCGGCTTCAGGGATGGAGCCCTGTCAATGGGTGAGTCACCCTTGTGTTCCAAATACAGGTGGAGGAGGAATGGAGAAGTCAGAACCCAGGCCCCTGGGCAGGACGGAGGTGGAGTGCCTGTATTGTGAGAAAATGGACATAGAACTTAGTGGCATAGGCTTGACTGTACCTGGAAAGGAGTGCTCTTTTTTCAGTGTGTGTCCTGCGAGGGAGGGGGCAGGGGAGCAGGAATTCGTCTACAGCTGTTGGAAGAAAATTGCTGCGCTGCTCAGAGAAGCACAGAGGGTAGGTCTGGAAATCTTTGGGGCAGAAGATTTTAGAAATAGTAACCAATGGCCGGATGCAGAGGCTCACGCCTGTAATCCCAGCACTTTGGGAGGCCAAGGCAGGAGAATCACAAGGTCAGGAATTCAAGACCAGCCTGGCTAACATGGTGAAACCCTGTCTCTACTAAAAATACAAAAATTAGCCGGGCGTGGTGGTACATACACGCCTGTAATCCCAGTACTTGGGAAGCTGAGGCAAGAGAATCGCTTGAACCCATGAGGCAGAGGTTGCAGTGAGCCAAGATCATGCCTCTGCACTCCACCCCAGGCGACAGTGTGAGACTCTGTCTTAAAAAAAAAAGAAAAAAAAAAAAGAGATAGTAACCAACATTTCCCTCCAATAATATATCCTATTCTCCCTTTTTTTTTTTTTTCATTGTTCCAGGCTCATTGTCTCAAAAACAGAAAGCAGAGAATGTGATAGAATGAGAGAAAGAACCCATTTGAGAGAGACCAGATGGTGAGTAATAGCCCCTGTGTGGGCTGTTCTTCCTAGTATGGGGAAGGGGAGGCGACGGGGGAAGACAGACCCAGGTTGTTGATGGCTTCCTGAGACAGGTGTCCTGTGCCCTCCTCTCTGGACTAAATCCCTATTCAGAAGAGATCTGAGAACAGAGGAGGCCTCTGCCCTCCTTCCCCAGGTAATGCCCAGGAAGGTGTCAAGACTCAAGAGACAAAGTGGCAGAGGGAAGCACCCAGAGAGCAGGGGCTGAGGCATCTCCCTGAGTTCCCCACACACATCTGCAAATTCTGCACAGCAAACGCTGCTACAGAGCCAAGGGGAGCCCTGGGGAAGGCAATCCCCACACTGGTTAAGTTTTCACCCCTGAAAAGAGTGTGGACCTAACACAGAAAATTAAGTTCAGTTACAGAAAAGTAGTAAGACTATGTTTCTTGCCCCCTCTGGATTTGCACACTGAATCACACCTGCTTCTCACACCTTATAATAAATAATCAAAAGGTCTGAGCAGGCTTAGCCTGGAGTGGAGGAGCCCAGCAGCCAGAAATGTGGTCCACCGTACCATCCAAAGGACCACCATGTAAGAGAGCAGAGAAAGAGTTGCATATCAGGCTGGGCACAATGGCTCACACCTGTTATCCCAGCACTTTGGGAGGCTGAGGTGAGCGGATCACCTGAGGTCAGGATTTCGAGATCAGCCTGGCCAACACGGCGAAACCCCGTCTCTACTAAAAATACAAAAATTAGCCAGGCATGGTGGCATGTGCCTGTAGTCCCAGCTACTTGGGAGGCTGAGGCAGGAGGATTGCTTGAACCTGGGAGGTGGAGGCTGCAGTGAGTAAACCAAGATCACACTGCTGCACTCCAGCCTGGGCAACAGAGCAAGACTCCATCTCAAAAAGGAAAACCAATGAGAAGAGTTGCACATCAGAGAGAGGTCAGAGCAGGAGTAGGGGGTGAAAATCACATGGAGGCTGGCTGGAGTAGGTGAGATGAAGCTTTTCAGTGACCACTGGTGTCTAAGAATGCAACAGTTGCCTTCAGGGTCAGTGAGCTCTTCGGCAAGAGGCTTTCAAGCAGAAGTTGGGTATATTGAGAGGGACATTCCTGGGGGTTTGGACCAGAGGCCTGGGAGGTATTGTTTTATGAGGCTTCAGGTATGTGCATTGAGAAGTCCCTCAGCCTTGTGTAAGGACATGCTCAGTAGGCATGCGTGTCTCGGCCTGTGCCTGGCATTCTGCCACCCCAGTCAGGCACCCAACACCAAGCCAGTCACTGAGAAGGAAACAAACAAAGGAGGAGAGAGGCCAAAAAGCTCCCAAGCAACCTCAAGGCCCTGCTAGACAGGAACAAACGCTGGTTCCCGCAGGACCCGGAGGCCCATATACCAGTGCTACATCTAAAATGGACAATCTGTCCTCTGATCAGCCCCAATCTAGGCCAGACCTTCTCCCAAATGCCTCAGGCCCTAACTCTGGCCATACCATGTCTGGAGAAACTGAGGCTGTATGCAGGCCCAGCCCAACAGTACTGCCCCCTACCCAGCCTTTTCCCCTGCCTCCTGCCCACTCCACGAAGGGTATGTGGATAGGGTGCCCTTGGCGATCACTTCTCTTGGTCTGCCCTCACCTGATCCAGGCCAAGCTGCTTACATGGGAAGGAGAAGGTAAAACCCAGGGGGAGGCTCTGCCCACTCAGGCCCTGCTTCTGCTGGAAGTCCACGATGCAGTCCACAATGTGATCAAAGAGCTGTGGGGAAGGACAGGTCAGGGGTAGGCACTGCTCAGCCCTCCCCACCTCTGACATCAAGGCTCAGGCTATGGGTACCTGCTGCCCAGAGCCCTGGGCCACACTCTCAGGGATGGAGTAGATCTGACTGGTGATCTGCACACATGTGGTCACACGTACCAGGAGGACACGGAAGTTTGTGCCTCCGAGGTCCAGAGCCAGGAAATCCCCTCGCTCTGTGGAGCAGAGACCCTCAGTGCTAGGACAGGCCTTGTGGCTCCTGCCCCAGCACACACTGTGACCCCCAGGAGCCCATATTTCTGTCCCACACCACTCAGGCCAGGTCCTTACCACTGCCATCAGGTGTGGCCCGGACGTAAGTGGGCAGCATGCGGAGGGAGGAGGCCTCCCCTCGGAGCCCCTTGGCCATGGCCTCCCGCATCTGTGCCTGAACTGCTGCCAGTTGATCGTGGTTCAACCGGAATGGGGCCAGGGTCTCTTCCAGCAGGCGCCGGTGGGCAGCCAAGCGAGCAGCCACGGCAGTCACCATTGCTACTCCCCGGCCACCCCCATCCGCAGAGGGGATGAAGGAGACATCGCACTCCGGGGCCAGGAGCATCACTGTCCCCTGCAGAATGCTGCAAAACCTACAGATACACACAGGTGTACCTGGCTTGGCCCTGGACCCCCAGATACACACAGGTGCACCCAGCTTGGCCCAGGACCCCTGGGGCCTGCTAAAGCCCAAGGCCCATCACTTTTTTTTTTTTTTTTTTTAATCTTTTTAGATACCAGGTCTGGCTCTGTCACCCAGGCTAGAGTGCCACAGTGTAAACATGGCTTACTGCAACCTCAAACTCCCAGGCTCCAATGATCCTCCACCTCAGCCTCCCAAAATGCTGGAATTACAGGCATGCACCACCATGACCAGCCTCCCCTATCACTTCAATTCTAAATCTGTTCTGTGCACCAACCATATGCTCCAATGTCCCCATGACCTCCACCCTTGCACATCCAAAGGGAAGCATCTTTTTTTTTTTTTTTTTT